AGATAGATAGATAGATAGATAGATAGATAGATAGATAGATAGATAGATAGATAGATAGATAAATAGATGCAGGGGACTATGGTTGAGACACCTCTCAAATAAATAAATAAATAAATAAATGAAAGAAGGAAGGATGGATGGAAGTGGGTGGATAAAAGGGTTTCTGTACTAACATAATACAGAAGGTATTTGTTGTTGTTACCTAGAGAATATAATAACAAAAATTCACAAAGCATTTATATTAGTTATTATAAGTCATGTATAGATGCTGAGAGCAGGGCATAGTAGCATATGCTGTATTCCCAGCACTCAAGAGGATTGTGAATTCCAGATAAAAAAGTATATGGTGGGATGTTCATAGACTACACACAAACACTGCATGATTTTATATATGGGGTTTGAACATCTACTTGAGTATTATGTGGCATTGTGAAATTAATTCCTCATAGATATTAATAGGCTGTTATATATTTTTATACAAAGATTTGTTCATGAATATACATAGCCACATGTTTTTAAGAACCAAAAGCTAGAACTAAATCAAGTGGTCTACTAATCAACAAAAGGAAATGCATATCAGATCTAAGGTCATTAAACTTTTGAAATCAGAATTGTTTTAGATTTCAGATTTTATAATATTTCACTATATAATAAAGTATCTTATGGAATGACCCATCTAAGCATGCAATTTATTATTGTTTTTTACATGCCCTTATGCACATGCCTAAAGGTAATTATTATACAACATTTTAAAGGTCCGTTTTGACTTCAACACTTCATACAATGCCAAATACAAAATTTTCTTGTACCAGCATGTCAGTGACAAAGCTTCTCATTTTGAATTTCATAATTTCAGATTATGTATACTCCACTTGTACTGATATAGTCAATATATTGAGAATTTCAGAATAGTTATACTGACTTAAAAAAAACTGACAATAAAAACTACTACTCCATGATTCTATCAGGGCTGGAAAAGGAAATTACAGTGAAGCATGTGAGAACTTGAAGATGATGGCATGTTCATTGTTTTGGTCCTAATTGTGCTTTCAGAGGTAGATAGAGTACATGTGATGTCATGTCAAGACATACCAAAATGTACAGTTTACTGTATGTCAGCTGTGTTAGTTGATTTATGAGTTAATATTAAAATAAAAGTCAACCCCCAGTAGTTTGTATGGTAGATGTAGAAAAGCAAATGAGCAGCAGACATCACTGGACAGTCCTACCTTTTCTTGTACTACTGTGAGTCAGTATTTGATACTTCAGAGAAAAGTAACGTTTCCCTTCATCTTACTTTCCCATGTTTCATTTGTATAAAACCTTTCCTAAACATTAGGGGATAAGAAAGGCTAGTTGCCCTTTGCCCATTTGTAACCAGTTTAAATCCAATGCATATATTTTCAAGTTCTCTTTAATCTTCCTCTTGAAGTGCAATTTATATTTAGTCTGCCTAATTCCCTTGACTTGTTCTCCTCAGTCCTACACACCTCCAAGCAATGAGTTCAAGATCAGCATGAAATTGGAAGCACAAGATCCCAGGAACACTACATCCACCTGTATTGCCACAGTAGTTGGACTGACAGGTGCCCGACTTCGTCTGCGCCTTGATGGCAGTGACAACAAGAATGACTTCTGGAGATTGGTTGACTCCTCTGAAATCCAACCAGTTGGAAATTGTGAGAAGAATGGCGGTATGCTGCAGCCCCCTCTAGGTGAGTAACTAGAGCCTTGCTCTCCCTGGCCAATCAGGTAGATTCCAAAAATTATATATTGTAATATAGCAAAGCCCTGGAACACATGCCTACCATTTCTTTTTCATAGAGTACTCCCTAAAAAGCCCACCAAAAATAAGGTGACTTATCTTTACATTATTGTAGGGTGTCTAGTCCTCATCATACTCTTTTTCATTTGTGGTAGTGTTCATTTATCCTGAAATAAAAAAATGGAAGGTAATTGTTCCATTTAACCTATTAAAAAAACCATAAAGGTAACTGCACACACGCACACCATAAATCTCTTACTAAACCCAAAAAGACAGGACAGAAAATTCACCTAGAAGAAAGGTGGATTTCTGTTGGAGTCTTTTATGTCCTCTGCCATTCTTACTTCTGTCCTAGTTCTTACATGGTCCTTGGAATCTTCTCATTAAGAATTCATTCTTAAAGAAATTTGTTCTTTTAGTTAAACTAATCATCACACTTCTCTTTCAGAGCATAGTCATCTTTTTCTTGCCTCACTAACTGAGGAAATCAGGCTATCATCAGTTATTGACAGTTATTGATTGCAGTGATACGTTACAAGTTGGTGACATGATCTTAAAGGATGTGTATTTGAAAGAGTTTAACATTTTCTTCTATGTAAAACATTATGTGGGAAAACTTCAAATATGTAATAAAAATTAAAGAAAAAATACACAATTATGTCAATCTATCCTCTATTGTTATAATTATCATCAAGTATTCAATTTTATTTTATCAGTACTTGATTGTTTCTGCCTTAAAGTACAAATGTAGTACCACTTTATCATGAAATAGTATGTCTCTCCCATAGTCAAGGGTATTTTAAAAACATAACTATACCACCATTATCACATATGAATGAATTTTATTTCTTTGGTTTGTTTGTTTTTGAGACAGGGTTTCTCTGTGTAGCTCTGGCTGTCCTGGAACCTGCTCTGTAGCCTGGAACTCAGAGACCCACTTACCTCTGCCTCCCGAGTGCTAAAATTAAAGGCCCATGCCCCACTGCCAGGCCTTTTCTTGTTTTTTTGTTTTGGTTTGGTTTGTTTGGGTTTTTGTTTGTTTCGGGTTTTTTTTTTTTTTTTTTTTTTTTTTTTTTTTTGTTCTTGTTTTTATTTTTGAGACATGGTTTCTCTGAGTAGGTCTGGCTATCCTGGAACTCTGTAGACCAGGCTGGTCTTAATTAAAGGTGTGCACCACCACTGTCTGGCCCAGGTTATTTCTTAATACCAGTAAATATTTGGTGTTTAAAATTTCCTACTGTCATGCCACCTTTATTCCTTTATTTTCTCCTCTTGTCTTTCTCCTCTCTTTTCCCACTACTCTGATCTCCTTTCCTCTTCTGCTTGTCTTTCTTTCCTCTCCTCTTACCTCCTTTCTTCTCTTTCCCCATCCTCTTGTACATTTCTCCCTCTTCATCTCTCCTTCTTCTCATGTCATTTCTCTTCGTGAATTTCCTTGGATAAAGTTGGCTGAGATGTGTGCTAACCTTCTTAGCTATAGGATTTCCTTCTTCCTATTTTCCTTTGCAGCTTACTTGTTGCACACCCCTAGTCTTTACATTTTCCCAAAATTATATTTTGCTGATTGTATCCAATAGTATCATTTAATGTTTTTCTCCATTCCTCTTCTAAACCTAGATATTTGATGAGATTCAGGTTCAGTTTTTTTTTCACACACATATCTCACAGATGATAGTTAGCTGGTTGTTCCTTATTTTAAAAAAAAATAATTTATTTAATTCTATTTTATGTGCATTAGTATGAAGGTGTCAGATCCCTTGGAATCGGCATTACAAACAGTTGTGAGCTGCCATGTGGGTGCTGGTATTGAACCTGGGGCCTTTGGAAGAGCAGACACAGCTCTTGACCACTGAGCCATCTCTCCAGCCCCAGTTCCTTGTTTCATAACCTAGTAGACATTGTTGTTCATGGTCTAGATCAGGGCGCAGCAGGTCCCCACTCCCTCGTGCTCACTCTCGCTCTCTTTCTCGTTTTTTTGAGATAGGGTTTCTCTATGTAGCCCTGGACTCATTTTATAGACCAGGCTGACCTCAAACTCTCAGAGATCCGCCTGCCTCTGCCTCCCCAAGTGCTGGGATCATAGGCGTGCCACCACGCCGGACTTCAGCAGGTTTTCTTAACATGTCAGAGAATATATTGATTAGTATAGTATCATACTAGAATAGTACTATAGTGATAGTATATAGCTCAAGCCAAGGTCAGGCAGATTTTGGAGCTGCAAACTTGAGAGACTCTAGAGTGATTTAACCAAAGCTTTGATGGGCAGTTCTGTGGCAGTATGACAGACCAGAAAGTCAGTAGGAATGCAGACAGTGAAGGCTGTGCTCACAGGGTTTCAGGGTAGAGCAAGTCCTCTTTGGGGAATGGGGCTGGAAGCCACTCACACAACAGTCTTTTTTAAATTGTATTTTATACGTGTGAATGTTTTTCCTCGGGGGGGGGGGGGTGGCTTATGTGTGTGGCTTCTACAGAGGCCAGAGTTACTGGATTCCCAGGAACTGGAGTTACCGATGTTGTGAGTCTCCATGTGGGAGCTAGAAACAAAACCAAGTCTTCCACAAGAGCGGCAAATGCTTTTAGCCACTGAGCTGTCTTTCTAGCAGCCCCCACAGCTACTTTCTCACAAAGAACCCTGGAACTTATATTTGGCATGCCATCTTGTGATTCTGTTTTGGGATTTTCTGGAACTTTTAGGAGGTGGGCCTAGTTGGAAGGAGTTGGTCATTGGGGTAGGAGACAGGCCTGTGGGTGTTAGCCCAGTCCCAATTTCAGCCCAAACTCTCTGCTACCTGATCATCAATGGGTGTAGCCAGCTGCCTGTCCTCCCACTGGTCTAGCCATGAGCCATTCCAACTACCATACCTTTTTCAACACACTCCAAATATGCCCTTAATGCATTTTTAAGTCATTTTTTAAAGTCAAAATGATGACAAAAGTAACTGATGGCAGCCCTTTTGGTGAAAATGGTATTTAGAGATCATAATCTAAGCATTAGAAAGCCTAAATTTTGGTTTAAGTAGGTAATTGTTTTGTACAGAGGGAGAATCTACTTTTTTTTCTTTTTCTTTTTCTTTCTTTCTTTTTTTTTTCTTTTTTTTTTTTTTTTGCCTTTCTTAGATAACATTGATTCAGCTTGACATTTGAATTCAGAACAGTGGCATATTTGTCTACTCTGTCTATGTCATCTTACATCTTCTTTCTACACTAATATAAACATATAACATTCCACAGTACACATGTAGCAGGCTTACCATTGAGCCGGCTGTCATCATTGTGATCATGGATACTATGTTATTTGCATTTTTCTTAACTCTCAGGGCAAATGCAATTTTTCTGGGTGGCTCTGTCACTAACTTAAAAATTAAGGTTCATTTATTTATATGTAGAAAATTGCTTTCTTATTAATTGGGTTTACAAATATATAAATATATTCATTTTAATGTAAAGTTTATGAAATAAAGTATACTCATAAAAATTCCCGAGTGTACTTTTTCCTTTTTGAATAAGTAACCACTTTCCTTAACTTTGTTATTTTTCATTCAAAAACTATAGCCACTGACTTGGAGTATAATTCAGAGTTGGAACACTTGCTTAGCATACACAACATCTTGGATTAAGTACCTAACACTAAAAAAAGTATTCTAAAAGCCAACAAAACATTTAGGTTAATATGTTTATATACATATATGTAATTTATGTATTAATGGATATATCTTTGCCAGAAGCTTAATAACTGTATCAGAGTTAAGAGTAATGAGGGGATGTAGATATGTACATTTACATACGTCTGTATACATGTATGCCTTTGAAAGATAGTATACTTTACGTAGTTGTCTTAGCTTGTCCTTTTTGCTTACCAGGACATCCTAAAATGACTTCAGAGTGAAATAGAACTATTCCTACTGCTTCTTCCAGTTGTACAGTGCTATATTATTGTGCTACTTTTGGGTAGCTGCTTAAAAGCATCTTGCTGAGAATATATCTTAGTTGGTAGAATGCTTGCCTTGCATGCATGAATCTCTGAGTTCAATCTCCAGTACTTCAAAACAACAACAAAGCAAACAGCAATAACAAAAGGAAATTATTTTATGGTCTGGGAGTATAATTCAGTGGTAGGCAACTTCACACCTGCTTACCATATATGAAGCCCTAGGTTCAATTCCCAGCACAACAACAAAACAAAAAAACAAAAAAAAAAAAAAAAAGAAAAGAAAAATCTTTAATACTGAGAATGTAACTCAGTTGGTAGAGAGATTACTAGCATGTGTGATACTGAAGCCTCGTGGTCCACCCCAAGCACTGAATAAACTGGGTGTGGTGGGTCATCTCAGCACTGAGGAGATGGAGGTAAGATGACCAGAAGTTCAAGTCTGCATAGTGAGTTGAAGGCTACCCTGGGATTGATGATGCCATGTCAAAACAATAGAATAGAAGCATCTTCAGAGATTATTAAAACTATAAACTCTCAGTGATAATAATGAGTATTTAAATAAGATCATTTAAAAATTCTATATAAACCTATAGATCAAAAGAGAAAACAAATCAAACTTTTAGTAACTCATACCAGTATATAACTTTGAGTTAAGAATACCACAAATTAAAATACATTTTAGTGAGAGTTTGATGCCATCAGGTGCATATCAGAATAAACAGTTTGTACAGGCAGAAATTGTATAAAAGAGAGCACTAGAGATCTCACATAGCCTAGAAAGAAATAGACTGACATGGAGTAGGAGATTTTCAAGACAAAGCTGAGACATGATGGATTCTGATATATGCTACTACATAATAAAGCAGGAGGGTCTGAATGGGTAGTGTGAAGGACTAGAAAAAGAGTAACAATCTTGGGGAGAAAAAACTTACTGTTGTGGGAGAAGAGACTTAATGCTGAAATGGGGACAAGGAAGAAAAGAGTAGAACTTACGTCTGTGTAGAACCAGAAAGAATAAA